TGAAGTCTATAAGCAGGTGAGTCTATCTGACTAAGATACAATGTGAATGATGCTTACTTGGTAGCCGGTTCCTCTGCTCAGTTAACCTCAATTAAGTACATACTCTTCTTTCCATGGTTTGTCTTACAAGGGAGCATAAAATATGTAGACTTAAACTGAGAAATGGCTTTGAGCTCTGGACTTCTGCTTCTGGACTGTTGTGTGAAAAACTCATACAGTGGTTTTCCCTAGCAAAGGTCCAGTTTGTGCTGCAGAAGAAACTCGTATGCTAATAAACGGGTATTGACAAGTGTGATAGATGCAGCTAAGTACTTAGTGAGTGCTGGAGAGCAAAGTTGATTGCATTTTACAGTCTGTGTATTTCTCTGTTTATTGCTTGTATTCTGTCATTAAGCAAACAGGTTCCTAATATAGCAAATCTCTCTAATCAGTAAAGCAAGGAAGAAAAGAACCAGAGCATCATTAATTATGACTATCTGGCTGCAGACTGGACAGTCTGTTGCTATTGGATTGGGCAACTTCCCCTGGTTTTATTTTCTGGAGGTAGAGCAGAAACTGGCTTTTCTTATGCGTGGAGGAGAACAGAGAAATGTTCCATGCCCTGCTGGCTGACAGCTGCCTAAAATCCGGAGATTAAACACTGGCTTCTCTACAGAAATGGAGTCCTGGGGCAGCAAAGGCCAGGCTCCGGGCAAGTGCGCTTTTAAGCCTCCAATTCCATAATCAGAGTGAGCATGCTGCTCACAAGCCTGACCTGTCCCCAGAGCTTGGGGAGAGCCTGCTGTGGGCAGTACCCGCGTGGGGACTGGGCTGAGAGCTATAAATGATGTGTGCATCTCTGTTCTGCACAGGAAAGCTGCTGGCACCATGGCAGGCTTTCCAAATGCTAATCACTGGGGTAAAAAGCAGGAGAGGCACTGCTCTGACTCCAGGTAACAGAGGTTAACAGCATCTAATGCATTTATTAACCCTCTGGTGCCAGGGACTGGCGAGGTCTGGCCCCCCACAATTACAGTGCCCTGGAAATTCATTTATGCGACGTGCCTGGACTTGGGGATTACCACCAGTGACACTTTTATAATATGAGAGCAACGGCTGCTGGAGAGACAAGGCTTCACGTGCCTAAAGAATAGGTTTCCCTGGTTTTCCAGAATGTAGGGAAGGCGCTTGGTTTGGGGACAGGCTTCTCTAGTATGATTTTCATCTTCCCGTTCTCAAGATGAAAACCTCAAGGTGTGCTATATTTCGGTGGTGGTGTTTTCCCCAACTCAGAGTCAGGCAGCTTCCCCTAAACCTTATAGCTACAAATTAGAGTTAAGAAACACCCTTTCTTAAAAAGGATTAAATAATTCATTTTTCAACATACTGTAAGAATAGTTCAAATTGATTTTTTGAAAAATGAAATGCATCTTCTCTTCTTCATCTCTTGTTAAAAGGCGTATCGTGTTAAAACCACAAACTGCAAGGCATGGTGTCTGCATAGGTACTGGCTGGCTGAGCTCTTTGTCGGCTCTCTGCATTTCTCATAATCATCAGGGCTGTGAGGCTCACTGAAGGGCCCCTGAACACTGTGCCAGCCCTTCTATTACTGTACCCTTCGTTTTACCAGTGTGTAACTCAGGGATAAAAGGTGCGCTTCCAGTTTCTAATTTACCTTATACCTTACAAAGTCTCAGGAGTTTGGGGTTTATTTTTTCCTTTTAATTTTCCTGGGACATCCCACTTTGCAGCAACTGAAACAGCATTTAAAGTGTGTAAGTACTTTTTTTGTGATAGTTGAAAGCGGGGGATGCCCTGTAATTTTATCTGTTTGCATTTATCATACCTGACTAGCAAGACAGTGATAGCTTGATGATGTTTTCAGAAATGCTGGGGATAAAAGCCTTTAAAATGTGTAAATAACAGGTTTCTCAGGCTTTCAAAGTGGGTTTTAAGATGCAGATTTTCTTAAGTAGACTCTGGATCTGCAGAGGTAGATTTCTGACCCTCAGTGGTCACAGGAAGTTCACACTGCATACAGGACTCATAAGCATGCAACTAGCCAGAAGTTCACAGGTCTGCATCCCAGGCTGTGACCCTCTCTCAGCAGCAGGCCCACTGTGAGAGGTCCTGAACTCTCAGCCTGATGATGTCTGTTGTCGACCCCATCCAGTCTAGACAGCCAGCACACTCTGGCCCTCAGCTCATTTGGTGTAAGATTTAAAGAGATCTCAAACCTATATGCAATCCTTTGATTCTGCTAATCAGACTCACAGAGCTGACAGTAGCCCGTGCCAGGTTTAGATGGAACTCCAGAGCCTCTCTGCTCAGCCTCTGCTGCTGTAGGGCTTTCCTGAGCACCCAGACCGCTCTGTAGGAAGCTTGTTAACACACAATGTAAGCAGAGTCTTTAGAGTCCTGTGTGTGGACTGCTAAGTCTCTAGAGTGCTGAGTGCCTCTGTGGGTTGGGAAGATGTTTAACGAGAGAGAAGGCGTTTTCTCAGAGTATCCCCTGTAGGAATGTGGCTGCACATTCTTACTTGGACTCATCAGTTCCCCCAGTTATGCCAATCGAATGGTCTTCCAGGCAAGATGAGCCTGAGAGGTGCTGCTTCCAGCTTTAGCCAATGGGACTCCACGGAGACAAGGCCAGAAACTGACCTTTTCCTTTATACAGAGGCCAAGGGGGTACCCGCTTTGGGGGAACAGGAACTTAGAGACTGCACAGACTTGGAGCTGATCTAAATGCATTTTCCTGTGTAATTGAAGTTATGCCTGCCATTTCCAGATAGAAGACAAGATCCGCGGAGTTTACACCTGTGCGCGTCTCCCTGGTTGAAAGCTTATCAATTCTGAATGTAGTGTGAAACCCTCCGTGACTAATGAGGGTCAGAAATCTACCTATGCAGGCAGAGTCCACTTAAGAAAACCTGTTAAGATAGAGGCCTTTTCTAGTCCATTGATGAAAGCCCCTTTCTAATCATTTAATAATGGTAGGATTATACTCCTGCAGTATAGCTAATGAGTGTCACAGATTGAGTATACAATGAATAAAACACTGTCTGCTAGTGCTAATCATACCTAACAAAGTAGGAAGGAGGCCTTCCCAGCCCTTGGAACTCTTAGAAGCTACTGTGGTCTAGGACACTGAGGTGCAACTTAGCTGTGACCACAAGCATAGAAAGAACTTGAGAGCATAATGCATCCCAGTCTAGAACTCACGCTGCCTCCCCTGTGCAATTCAGTAAATTTGTTAGTTATGCAAAGGCCCTTAGCAAGGGCTTATGTCTTTTGTAGATTATGGCCTAGAAAAGGCAGAATGTGATGTTTTAGGGCCATTTTGGTGTCTGGGCACAATTCCAAACTTGAACAGAAATAAAACATGTAAAGCACTACACATTACTCTCTGTAGGTGACAATGCAGTGGACCAGATTTGCTATTAATATAGATTAAAAGCAGGCTTTTGAATCAGGTTCAATTCCTCTTCCAATTTCCCCTCTGATCTTCTTATACATAACATTTAGTGACCTTTGAACAGCCCAGGGATGCTTCACAGTGTCTTATTCTTGATGCTTGTTTAAAGGTTTCTATTTCATATTCACAGCTGGCATATGCAAATATAGGTAAAGATTATGATGCCTCCCAAGTAGCATTATGGTCAATAAATTACTCCTTGGGTGAACATGCTATCATTTTAGCTTAGCATGTCTTCCAGGAGTTGCAAAAGTCACAACGGGCAGCCTGCCAGTGCCAGCCACAGAGCTGGTTGCCCAGGTCCTCCTTGATTCAAGTGTAACGTGTAACGCTTAACCAGGGCTCAGCCCATTGACAAGTAAGCTCTCTGTCTGTCGGTGCCAAATGGCTCCTGTTGCTGGGGATGAGGGAGGAGCATTGTGGGAGTTCTTTGTGTGGATTTTGGGGAGAAACACTGTGATGCAAGAGGTAGCACATTTTCATTTAGGAACTGAAAAGACTGGGTTTGCATCGTGAGTCTGTAAGTAAATTGCTATGCGACCTTGAATTAGTCACTTAACTTCTCTGGGCTGTTTTCCTTTGTGAAATGAGAGGGTTGTACCAGAGTCAGTAGTTTTCACTTGCATTTACACTGTCATTGTTTGAGCAATGGGATGTTTCCTATGATGAAATTATCAGGTAGAAGCCCAGTGGAGGGTTGTTCCAGTTAAGGAGAAACAGGGAGCTCAGTGCCTTCACAGCCCAGTCCCCTTCCAACTGCTCGGGAAGCCATTTTCAAATGGCTACATTGAGGATCCGTAATGCTCTGCGTGATTCTCTGAGGATGCCCATCTGAAAGGGTCCCTGCCCTGTGCCTTAGCCCCTGATTCTATGTGATCCTAAACAGTGACTAGTGAGTGGTTTCCTCACTAGAGAGGAGCCCCAAGAACCCAGGGGCCAGGTCCTATTTTGTTCATCAGCATATACCCAGCATTGGTAAACAGGTACTCAGTAAGGGTTTGTTGACTGGAGCAACAAATAAACAAATGAACAAACAAACAAGCTCAGGAAGGCCTCTGTCTATATTACTCATAAATGCAGATGTTTATTGCAATATTTTTACCTAGAAGGAGGTATTTCCCAAAAATTAACTTTAAGAAATGAGGGATGACTTCAAAACGTTTTCTTTAGTAACCTAGTCCTGGGCTGCTCCTTCAGGAGCCGCTCGGCTTTGAAATGGGGTAAGTCGGAATTGAGATGTGCCACGCCAGACACACCAGATTCTGAACACTTAGTATGGACAAAAAGAATGTAAAGTATCTTATTAATATTGAGTACATTTTGAAATGGTAATATATTGGGTTAAATAAAATATATTATTAAAATTAACTTCACCTGATATCTCTTTATTACATGGCTACTAGAAAATGTTCAATTATATATGGAGCTCACAGCTGTGTCTCACATATTTATCAGAGAGCATTGCCCTAGACAGCTGATTAATGGATCATCAGTAATTACTCTTCTGTATTATGTTTGAGCATTTTTTTTTCTTGTCTCTCTCCAGGCACAGAAGCTAAAATCCAATGTGTCGGGCAATACACACCTCTGTATTTCCAATGTGAGTATGTTTCTTTTGGAGGCTTCCTGCATTTATAGAAACATAGCCTTTGGGCCCCTGGGGCAGGGTATCACATAAAGCATTCAAAGACAAGAGTATCCAGTCCACAAGAAATCTAAGCCACCCTCCATGACCATCTGCCCTTTGAGCAAGGTGAACACTTTGAATTCCAGTTCACAAAGTTGGAAGTAAGCCTGGGACCCGGGATCTTTGTCCCAGGATTAATACAAGTGTTCCAGGGCCCTGAGCCTCTCTGTAATCACAGTCATGTAAAATCATCCAGCACAGAGAAGATACATAGCAAATCTCATTGCTCACCAGATGTTCTCTATCTGTGGTGCCTGTGACCTCCACAGGCCCCCATAGGTAGATTAGAGCAGGTACATTACTCAATCCAGTTTACTGGTGAGGAGACCGATAATTCTGCTGTGTGTGGGCCCTGGTTCCTGGTGTAGGAGGTTGGCATTATGGGATTAAGCAGGTGCTGGGGATGGAGGATTCTATCCTGAGGAAGGACAGCTGTGCTGGCTGGGAGTCCAGAAGCTGGAGTTCTGGTTTGGTTCGCCCAGCAACGAGCAAGCAAGCGCTTGCTCTCTCCAACTCCTCATCTATAAAATCTGGGATTGAACTGGCTCATGCAGGGAGAGGCTGCTCTGCCTGTCTCCAGTGCTGTCTGTGACCCATCTCTACACAAACTGTCACTTGTTCGGGCAAGTTTCCTGAGATGACTGCTGTCCTCCTTCCCTGATGGGGAGAGACAGTGAGCATTCCTCTTCAGCTGGTGATAGGAGAAGGGTTCCGTGCTGCACAGCTAACAGTTACCTGTGCAACATGGAACCCTGGAGAGAGAGGTAAAGAATGGCAGGGGTACCTGAACTCAGATATCTTCCCCCAAAATGAATTTAATAATCCCTAACGGGATAGCAAGCAGTAAGCATTGACCAGTTTGTCAAAAGTATCTGGTGCTAATCCAGATTCATGGTTTCTTCCCATAAAACTGCAAGTCAGTGAATTTGAGTCTCAGTGGTAAAATCTTGGTCAGCTTTGGTGAGTGGGTCAGCCAATGGGGAGCTGGGGGGAGAGAGAGTGTAAAGTATACTGTGGTAGAGAGAAGACATGCAGTGAATGATAATGAAACCATTCTTTCTTACAGGGTAATTATGAAAAAGAAGGTCTCGGTGCTTCCAGCCACATAACCACAAAATCAATGGCTGCTCCTCCAAGCTGCGGTCTGAGCCCACTGCTGGTTCTGGTGGTAACCGCTCTGTCCACCCTATTATCTTTATCTTTAGCAGAAACATCGTAGCTGCATTAAAAAAAATACAATATGGACATGTAAAAAGACAAAAACCAAGTTATCTGTTTCCTGTTCTCTTGTATAGCTGAAATTCCAGTTTTAGGAGCTCAGTTGAGAAACAGTTCCATCCAACTGGAACATTTTTTTTTTTTCTTTCAAGAAAGCTTCTTGTGATCCTTCGGGGCTTCTGTGAAAAACCTGACGCAGTGCTCCATTCCAAACTCAGAAGGCTTTGGGATATGCTGTATTTTAAAGGGACGGTTTGTAAATTGGGCTGTAAAGCAAACTGGGGCTGTGTTTTTGATGATGATGATGATGATGATTTTAACAGTTTTACTTCTGGCCTTTCCTAGCTAGAGAAGGAGTTAATATTTCTAAGGTAACTCCCATATCTCATCTAATGACATTGATTTCTAATGATACAAATTTCAACCTGACATTGATGCCAAGCTTTTTTTTTGCCACAAAGAAGATTCTTATCAAGAGTGGGCTTTGTGGAAACAGCTGGTACTGATGTTCACCTTTCTATATGTACTAGCATTTTCCATGCTGATGTTTATGTACTGTAAACAGTTCTGCACTCTTGTACAAAAGAAAAAACACCTGTCACATCTAAATATAGTATCTGTCTTTTAGTCAAAATAGAGAGTGGGGAATGAGTGTGCCGAGTCAGTACCTCAATCCCTGAACAGCACTCTTCTAATCCTAAGCCTTACCTGAGTGGGAAGCCCTTTACCTAACAAGAGTCCAATATAGCTGAAACGTCGCTCTAATACTCTTTACACTTATGAGGTTATATGTAGAAAAAATTTTACTACTAAATGATTTCAGCTATTGGCTTTCTATATTTTGAAAGTAATGATATTGTCTCATTTTTTTACTGATGGTTTAATACAAAATACACAGAGCTTGTTTCCCCTCATAAGTAGTGTTCGCTCCAATATGAACTTCACAAATAACAGCTCTTCAAAAGCAGACTGAGAAGCCTCGTGCTGTAGCAGAAAGTTCTGCATCACGTGACCGTGGACAGGCAGGAGGAAACAGAGCAGACAAGCATTGTCTTTTATTATTTCTTGAAGTGCAAGCATGCATACCTGTGGAGGGAACTGGTGGCTGCTTGTAAATGTTCTGCAGCATCTCATGGCACCCTTGTCATGATGCAATCCGGCACCTTGGTTTTCAGGTTATCTGACAAAGGCAGCTTTGATTGGGACACGTGGGCATGGGCAGGTTGTCCTTTCTTTGGAAGCACATCCATGCTGGGATGCCCAGTTCTTTTCCTAAGGACTGTCCTTACTCCTGACTGCAATGTCTTGGCCACTGTTTGGAGCACTTTGGTCTGAAGGTCATTAAGGATCTGCTTGTATCTTGTTTTATGTCCTCCGTAACAGACTGCAGACCATGTTAGAAAAGAAGGAAGGTTTGTGGATCAAGAGGGTTGACATTAGGTCTGGCGAGGTGAGTTGGTTGGCACAGATCAGCAGGACAGGACCCTGGTGATAAGGCATCTGGCTTTGCTAACCACATATCATCTACCATTATTCTCTTTCTTGACTAAGTAGACCCGAAAGTGCACTGTCGAAGTCTGGTTTAGATGGCGAGATTCTGAATCTACAGTGATCAAGTACTGGTGGCCACTTTTCTCCAACATTAAGTAAAGCAGCAGAGATCCCACCTTGATAAAGTGCTGGGGAGCACTGGCTTTTTTCCCACCTTGGTAGAGAGATGGAGGAGGAAACCAGGGTGCACGTTTCTACAGATCCCCTTTGCCTGCTGGTGTTTGCCTTGTAAGATTAGTCAAATTGCTAGGGGGAAGGGGAAATCTATGAAATCCAAGATAAAGGCATAGTCTTTTAGCTCTATTGGTGTTCAAAGTGCATTTGTGTCCAAATGTTAATCAACACAAATGTACAGTACTCGGTACTGACTTTTTTCAGTTCAAAATGTTTTCAAGGGAAATTCAGCAGACACTCAACTGTATTTAATTAGTGAAAAGTTCTATAAAGACTCTTACTTTGAATAAACACATTAAATGTGTCAAAATATTTGGAATGCCAGTTATCTATGAGTGCATAGCTCTTACAGAGCATATTTTGTTTTCATTAAGTTATCTCTGTGTATCTACACTGGACTAATTGCATAGGGATCTGATTCTATGTGATCCACTGTAGAAAACTATTGATTACTTCTGCAGTAACAGCAGCTCTAATTAGCTTCAGATGACCAAAGAGGAAATGGGAGTTTCAGTGCTAACAAGGGCAGCCTTCATTGAAGAATGCATGGGTAGGCAACATATAAATTAAATTTTGAAAAGCCTCATCTGTCACCAACAAAGATCTCATTTTTCTTCAGTGATAAAAGCATATTCAAGTTACCAAATCCTCAATTTGAAAATCAGTTGCTGATTAAATAAATAAGGGGAAGCATCTTGTTCAGGGACAACACGTTGGAGAGATTCTTATCAAAGCAAGCCAAGCAAGGTTTCTGCCATTCAGCGTGATCTTAGTTTGACATAGTGACCCTCAACCACCACCATTTGCCCCAGAACTGGAGCACAATGATTTAAATCATTTACCTGTCTCACTTCTTCTTGGCATGCTTAAAAGCAAACATGATTCACTACTTCCTGTCCTTCAGTCCGGGCATTTGGGGTGCCAGTGAAGACAAGGGTTATCTGCTGAGGTTTGGGTGTCTTGCAGGAAGTATGTCATTGCAGTTAATTTCGATGAAATGAAACAGTAACTAGGGTCCATGCAGCCCATGACTCCCTGATTACATCTAGCCATGCCCTACTTATTATTTCAGAAAGAAAGAGGGGGAATAAAGGCAGTATTGCCACACTGATTAGAAGCACATTCATTCCACTTTGATGTTGAATATTTTTGACCAATATATGCTTGAGTATCTTTTTAACGGAGCACATGAAGGAAGAAGTGCACAACATAGAGCAGGAATTGAGAATGCCAATTACATATTTATTTTTCCATACCTGATTTTTTTCAAGTCTCTAATAAAAAAAGTGTAAGTTGAGATTAACATAGGTGATGTTTCATGAAGTATCGACAGAGCGAGACTCCGTCTCAAAAAATAAATAAATAAATAAATAAATAAATAGAATGTGATGAGTGTGATTTCCATTTCATTTTTTTAAAACACACTTTTTTGCTGTAGTAAGAATGTCTTAGAAGTTGTGTCTTCGAGTTACTCAAACACCAGACAGGGCTCCTCCAGAGCTGCCCCAGCCTTTGATTTGATCCATATTCAGACACTTCCTATCTTGCATACACTCTGATGGGCCGCTTCTAGCTGCTGCCCGTCTCCCTCTTGCCTTCTTGTCTCTAAATTAGACACTCCCAAGCACTCCATCTGCTGTACTAGGAGAGTGGGAGAGCCAAAGCATTTTGGAGTCCGTGTAAAGTGCCTGGGAAAAGAGATGTAAGAGCAGTGGGAGTTTATATAATTAGCAAATTCTTTTCTCAGAATTCAGCAGAAATGTATTTCTGTTGTTATTATTTACAAAATTGTGGCCTCAGAGGAGCTGTCTTTTGGAAAATAAGTTTTCATTCATGCAGTTAGACATGCACGATGTATTTGAATCAATAAACTGCAGACCAGAAAAGGGCTGCTTAAATGAATTCACATGTTCTAATTCTCTTTTGAGGCTGTTGATGATCTCCTGGATTCATAACCCCATGATCTGTGTTGCTTTTGCCTCTGCTCTTTGATAAAGCAAATCAGACTGTGTGACACCCATCTTTTCAAGAACAACCTAAAAGCGATGACAACAGGCAGGAGTGAATTACCACTGGCCTGGGCACAATGACAGCAGAAGGCCCATCTGAGCTTGGAGAGTTGGAGCGATAAGGCAAAATCAAGGTGCAACAGTGGGCCATGTTCGAAGGGTGAATGGATCAGAGTCCGCTGATGTTCCTTACTGATCAGAATAGGAACCTTCTAACAGAACAGCCAGAGTTCCTTGAATCAGGCAGAAGTTATTTAGAGACAGGAAGCCAGAGCTAATAATAATATCCGAATGACAGAGGAAGGAATTTCTTATTAGAAATTCTAAAATAAAACAAGTGGGGATTTGGTTGGATACCCTTAGAAGCTACATTTTTCTCTCATCCCTAAGATAGATATCTCAAGTGTATATCTGACACCTCTTGACTTTGACACAGCTCTGCTTCTCAAGTGATCATTTAAGTCTGTTGTCTAGAATTCTTTGTAAGGGCTGGACCTCTGAAAAAGATTCTCACTGCAGAGGCCTTAAATCTGTGTTTTTTTGCCAATCCCTCCTTCCTGGGATGTATTCTGTAGGACATTTCATTTATATCAGGATATTGGCTGATTCAGCTCTCTTTCATTGTTTTTATTCAGGCCTCCCTCCACCACTTTGTTCTTTATTGCCTAATATTGCCCTCCCCAATTCTTCATCGTAATCGCTCTAAATTTAGTTCGACCCAAATTAATTTCTGTTCCAACAGATATCTTTTAAGACAGAGAAGCCTCTCTCAGGAGCCAGATGATCTGAAGATGATGCTAATCCCCAAATACGAAGTTCCTCCAGCTAACTCTCCTCTGAGCTCTCTCTCTCCTTAGCTTTGGGATTGGGGATGGTCTTATCCTTGCCAGGAATCTCTTTGTTGCTCCCAGTGTCTCTGATGAGCTTCTCCTCCCTCCCAGGGACCATGCAGGGGTGGTTTTCAGCAGAATGTGCCACCTGCACTTCTGATTGTTCTGAGACCCAGCCCAGAGGGGTGGAGAAGGCGCACAAACCCTATTCCAATAAACTGCCTGCAGAGAACCACAGCCTGCTAATAGTCGTTGAGGTCTCGGCCCCCTAAGGTCTCCAAGCTCATTTGACCAGCGCAGCTGCGCATCGGCTGTCTGCCTCTGGCAGGTGCCAATATCAGCATCTTGTCCCACTGCCATGGGGAGTTAATTTTTGCTCCAGGGCAGCTGCCAAGCCCAGCACCGGCATCCATGGAAGGTTTTCTCTGATTTTCTTCTCTTCGTCTCAGGCTAGGCTTTCTCACCAATCCCCAATTTTGTTTTGTAGGGTGCCAGGAGACTGACCAGAGATCTTTAGCCTCTTCCTTAGTTTGAACATCTCTTGCTGCTCACACCCAGGCTTCTTCGGCAGAAAGCATGACCCATAGTAGGTACTCAGAAACTGGTTAAATGAAAAACCTTGACATTTAAGGGCTTTATTCTGTCATACAGTAGCAAGAACTGGCCTATTGGCATCATATTCCTGGCATTGGGCTGTATTGACCCTGAACGTGTCCTCCTGAGGTTTTTGAGGGTGACCTGGGAGAAAGGGTCTGAGAAAGCATTGGGATCCAAGTGACTTTAAATCTGCCCATGGCATTTCCTGCTGAGAGGTGAGAAACTAGCATCTTTACCAGCAGGCTGACATCTGCCAGAAAGGACAGAGCCCAAAATGGGGGTAGACTTTGTGGAAAATTCGCCAGTTAGTCCGCTGAGATTTTAATCTGCCTCAAGCACAGGATGCTGACAAGAAAGGTAGACCACTCCGCCGATCCCAGACGAATCCCAGGGATGACAACTTCTCCATCAGTATCCTGAGAAGCAACATCAAATGCTTATCAAGTCAGCACATTTATTGAGTGAGTACTCTGACGGAATGAACTAGCATTTGGAGCTGAATTTGAGAACACAGGGCCCTCTGACAGCAGCTTAGGGAAACGCCCATCCCTTCCAGATTGGCAGAATCCTTCCATTTCACGTCCTTCGGAGACGCTGTATTCTCTTTACAAATCATTCATGAAACTTCAGACTCAGTCTCCCAGGGGGTAAGTCCTGCGCCATGTGCAAACAATGACAAATCCAGCTCTTCCATGATGGAGAAGGCAAACACACCCACCTTCATCCTGAGCCTAAAAGGGCACCTCAGAGCACTTAGGCGGCCACTCGTCTGGGCCTCAGAGGGCCATGAGCTTGGCCAGGTAGGCACAGCAGTGGGGAAATCACAACTGTCAGGTACCGGCCATGGTGCAGGTGGGAACAGGAGATGCCAGAGCTGCTTTAGCTGAGGAAAGCAAACAATCAGCAGTGCTCAAAGGAGCAAAACTTCGAATGTGCACGTTGACCCCTGATATTTGCAAGCATAGCACAGATCCTAAGACTAGAGTGAAGTGGGAAGAAGAATTAGAAAATCCAGTGGATGTCCTGAATATAGGGAACCAGGGCTGTTGAAAATCAGTAAAGGTTGATGACCTGGGGCCAGACCAGGTGACTGTGGCAGTACAGGTGAAGGTACCCTGGACCTTCTCAGTTCACTGGCTCATAAGGCTCCGCCAATAATGCGTGGTTCTCTCTCTCTCTCTCTCTCTATCTCACACACACACACACACACACACACACACACACACACACACACACACAATGATTGGAGGGCTATATGATCCAGCATTATCTTCCTGGTGCGCCAAGCATGCTTGATCTGGAATTATTATTGTTGTTATTATTTAGCTGTAGCTGACGGCATTTCTCAAATGTGGAGAAGGAGAATGGAAATTGCAGAACCAAGTCAGTTTGCCCCACCATATTTGGCTGTGGTCTTACTATCATTGGGCATTTCTGATGTGCTCTTCTGGATTCAGAAAGAGCTGATTGTCCTCCGAGGGTTGAAAAAACAGTTTCAGAAACCTGAATCCAGGGCCTTATCATTCTCATGATCTATCTTCTTCTCCCTTCCCTCGCCCAAGGGAGTGGGGGAAACACTTTTCACTGCAGAGTTTGCTTTAAAGAGTTTTCCCATCTTGCGTGCATTATCCCTTGATATTGAAATTATTTTCTCAGTTTAATCCAACTCCTGCTGAGAAGCTGTGTGAGATTTAGGTTTTGGGATTTTTTTCTTGTACTCTTTTGGATGGTGTTGCATTTTTCACTTTTAACCCGAGGGTGTGTTTCAGCTTATGTTCGTTCTGTTTCATGCAGGTTTATAGTATGGTGGAGTAGAGAAGGCGGCTTCTGATTTTTAGGGTATTTTTAGAATTCATTCCTGAGTGAGGGGTTCAGACACCCAGTCTCCTCAGAACAGGGGTGAGGGGTTGACTGAGCTTTGTTGAGGAGCCTCCGGTTAGGCTTCGGGCACGTCTCCATGTTCTATTGTGTGTTTACTGAGCTTCTCACTGGTAGAAGATGACACGTCTGTCTCATCGTCCTGCGTATCTGCTTTCCAGAGGACACTGGGACATTCTCCTGGGGTCACTCCCATGTATCTGCTTTCCAGAGGACACTGGGACATTCTCCTGGGGTCACTCCCATGTATCTGCTTTCCAGAGGACACTGCGACATTCTCCTGGGGTCACTCCCACACGGCTTCCTCACACAGCTGTTTTGCAACAGCCTTTATTGCCAACACCCGTGGAAGAACATCTCCTGTAGAAGTACAAGTTTTGCAATTTGGACTTTGGAAGTGGTTTTGTGATGTTTGAATTTTCTGTTAGCCTATTGCTCAAGCACTACAGAATGTACATAGTCCCTTTGGCCATCCTCCCACCCCAGAATATCCTAATAAACATTGTTTCCTTTTTTTAAAAAACAAAAATCATTGTGGTGTCTTTTTCTTTTATCCCATTCACTGGAAAACGCTCTTGAAATCTGCAAACATGTAGAAATCCCCAGTGTCAAAACAATGGGTTTTCTTGACAGCAGATCAGAAGGACTAAGTGTGGCTGCCACAAATACTTCCAGACCATGTTTCCGAACCTTGCTACTATTGACACTCAGGGCCAGATAATTATATTTTGGGTGGATGGGCTTGTCAGATCTTATACATTGTTGATGTTCAGCAGCATCCTTTGGTAGCCCCCCATCTACACTTGTGGTCAAAGCTATCTCTGGACATTGCCAAGGGTCCTCTGAGCCTAGGCAAAATCACACTTGCTTGAGAGCCACTATTTCAGAGTCAACCTTTTGCTCATATATGAGTGGCAAAAGGCAGCAGGGTGTAGTGTAGGAGCCTGCGGGGGAGACAGCGCTGGGCTTCACTCCACACCTGACATTTATATTATGTTCTCAAAATACAATGTTATAATTAGAGGATAGGATTGGTGGATTCCTAGTTACCATCATATTTGTATTGGATGATTTCTATAGACTTATAAATAGTATTTTGATAAAAGATAAAGACTTAGAATGAGGTGGTTGTTCTTGGTTCCAGCATCTAGCTCAGTGCCTGGCTGAGAAGAATCACTTAACATCACATGAGGCCATGAATTAGGATGGCGAAGGTGGCTGCGCAAAATATGACTCCCCTATTTCCCTGAGGAAGTTATCATCTTTGGCATCCTTATCACTGCCAGGAACCTTTAAGGCAAAATGTTAAGACATAAAACATAGTAATTAATATTGCCACTGTTGTTTGCTTCAGTATGCAACTAATGTCCCTGAAACAGCAAGAAGACCTTGCTTGCTCTAAGACAGAAGCCTGTATTTCACTTGGGATTCTGCAGGACACGCTTTTGTTCTCTTGTGATTTTTCTTTTAGCTGGGCTTTCCTATTGTCTTGCTTCCTGGCTCTGCTTTCAAATGACCAAGTTTAGAATGATTCCACAGAAGCCCCAAGTTGGTTTGGATGAAAAATTTGTGTGAACATTTGGACCTTGGCCTGGTGTTTTAAAGGTATAACAAAAGCCTAGATTCCAGCAGCTCACCTGGCTCTGGGCTTCTCGGGACAGCTTTTGCAGAAATCCCCAAGTTCATTCCCGGAGAAATGAACCCCAGCTGTCAGCACAGATGGTGCAGGGCCCGTGGGGATGGGCAGGACTAGAACACTCCCAGAATCATCAAGCAGAAGTGGGAGACAGAGCCGCAGCGAGCGCCCTGGGGACCTTCAGGGTCCCCCTACCCCCGTCCGTTCATATTCTAATCATCTTCGGAATGCAACCAAATCCCTGGGATGCAGGTGATAGAAAATTTAGGAGCTGGAACAAGAAATGACTAATAAAACCCTGAGAGAAATGCCAAGAAAGTGAATAAAATCTATGACAGAAACAAGATACAAGACTGCTTGTGTTTGGTGACATAAATAAAACATAAACGAGAACACAGTGATGCGAAGATATGAGCAGGGGTATCCATAAAAGTCCCATAAACTGGCAGTGCTGGATGCCCTGATGGGCTTTAGCCTCACAGAGATGTCTGCCATCCAGGCTGGTAGACAGAGAATTCACCATATTTAAAAGATAAGGTGAGCATTTGGCCTGGGTGGTTATATAAATAAGGACAATCTTTAAGAAAAAAGCAAAAACTGTATGACAATATGTATCAGAATTTAAAATCTACATCTCCTTTGAACCAACAATGTCACTGCAAGGAATTTGCCCTTCGTTCTTATACAGGGTGTCAAGACGCATGCAATACTATTTTTACCACAGAATAATTTGTAATAACAAACGACTAGAAACAACCTGAATGCCCATCAATAGTGAGCTGATTAAAGAACTTATAGCGCAGCTAGATGAGGGAATATTAAGCAACTATTTTAAAAAAGGAGACGTACATCCACTAAACCAAAAGGGGTCTATAGTGTGTTGAGTGAAATGGCAAGGTACAGGATGGTGAAAAATATTGTCCTACTTGTATAGAGTTTAAAGAGATAGATGGTAGACAAATATTGATGATAGAGATAGATCATAGATAGATGATAGAGAGCAGGATGATATACTCTACATCGATATAGGTAGACAGGTATAGATGTAGGCAGGTATAGATAGATGATTGATAGATGGTAAATAGATGACAGCTAGATGTATGTAGGTCAATAGATATATAGATGATACAGGTAGGCAATAGATGCTAGGTAGATAATAGATAAGTATAAATAACTATAAATAAATGATAGATTATGGATAGATAATTGATGCAGATATAAATAGGTAGAGATAGAGATATTAATAGATGATAGATGATAAATTTCTATAGATAGGTAATTGACCATAAATAGATAGGTAGCTAGAAAGATAATAGACAGACATGAATATTCCCTGGATATAGTTTTTACGTAGGTTTTATTCTATCCATATATTATTTGTACCCATTGTTTTTAGAGAATAAAAAGTAAAGGAAGGACAAGCTGTGCAACTTCTGGAACCCAGCTCAGATTCTGAGCCTTGCTCTTTAGAGGAGAGAGGCTGACGCAGCCCTGACTCAGAGCGCTCCCAGGGCTCTGCAGAGTTCCCTACTGCAGTCAGCCAAGCCCTGCACAGCCCAAGAAGCAGTGAGTGGCTGCCCCCACCAGCACCTCCTGCAAGATTAATTGCTGCAATTTAGGGAAGAGGCACCTTAGGGGCACCTGCTGTGCATTGTGTTGTATAGGAGGGTTTTAAAATAACTCCTCTCCCTGTGGTTGACAACGTAAGGGTGAGTCATTTCCATGCAGGGCCTTCCCAGCCCAAGGGGAGGCTGGGTCAGCTCTTCCAAGAATGAACCCCACCCTGCAGACGGTACTCTCAGAAGGCTCATGATAGTAACAGCTGTCAGTTGCTGGGTGCTCACCATGCACCAAGCCTGGGGATGGATGGGCTGTGTGCACATGATCTCATTTAGTCCTCACAGCAGCTCAGATACATTTAATTTCATTTTGCAACTGAGGAGACTGAGGCTCAGAGAGAGCAAATGACTGATGCAAAGTCACACAGCCAGGGTGGGACTCCAGTTCTGTTTTCTGATGTACGAGCCCATTTAGACACCCTCTTCTGCTCTCAGGCCTGTGGGGAGAAAGTCTCCTGGCTTCTGAGCGGGAAAGCTCGCAGGTACACCCACACCCCTCGGCCCTACCACATTTCCCTCCATCCACACTTGGGGCTATGTTCTGAGAGCTGCCCAAGTCAGCATAATGCGGCATGAGTTTGTCTTCAAAAGATAATTAGATTACCTCCCTTGCCTTAAGGAAAAGAACAGCAGATTTAAAAAGAAATATGACAAGCCATCTGAGTGCCGGGACTGCTCCCCTTAGACTTACACTTCCATTTCAGTCCCTCATTCCAGACATAAAACCAATTAAAGCCGTGGCAACGTATACAGTTAACACCAAGTGACAAAAGCCTGCCTAAGTGTTTTAAAGAATCTCATTTACCCACAGGCTGTGCCCGGAGAAACCTAGCTGGCCTGGTATCCTACAACTTGGGAAGTGCATGACGCAGCTGTGACTTCTGGGGGTGCTCAGCCACCCTCCTCAGAATCCCCTTCCAGCTGTCACCCTCTGTGCCTGGTCTGTCTTCAGTCTGGGGACAGCAGACGAGGGGAGGTGGTGGGGGCAGGTCTTAAATGTCTGAACCCTGGCAGGGTGGCTGGCTCAGGAAAATGTTTTGGTCCCTAGTCCCCGTCTGATTCTAGATCTCGACCTCTCCCACTCCTGCCCACACCCAGACAACCTGCAGGGGAGAAAGCACTGGACTTGACGGTCCTCACCTTGAGGTCCGCCACAGAATGGCAGTAGCAGCTTCCTTTGCCTTAGCACCTCAGGACCAGGGCATCTCCCTTTGAAGTGAGCAGATCAAGAAATTCAGCTTTTGGAAAGGAGCTTCAAAAACTAGGACCCAAACTGAGAAGAAATTATAAACCAGGCAATAAGAAAAATGTGGCTTCTGGGATGCGTTGTTCTGGCGTAAGTTTGCTTCCCTTCCAGGTAACAGAAAGTGAATCCCCAGGCCCATCAGTTGGGAAGGCCCAGTATCAGAACAGGAGAGCAGCCACACTCTGACACAAGCCTGGTTTGTTTTCCTTCTTCCAAACATTTCCGTCACTGGAGGATGCTTCAGGTGCTCAGATGAAGTCACCAAGCTTGGGAGCAGTTCAGAGTCCACAGAGCACCTTCACAGGCAGGCATGTTCTCCCTGGACACCCCCGCTGGTGGGTGGGGAGCTGGTTGATCATCCCCATTCCAGGATGTGTCTGTCTGACCAGTGGCAGAGGGGACCCTGCAGGCCAGGAGTCCTTCTCTCAGCCCCCTTCCCCTGTGTCATGGCCTCCCCTCGAGCTCCCTGTCTTCTTTTCTGACATCTTCCTACTCATGCCAGAATTGCAAAATATTTTAATTTACTATCTGCTTTTGCAGAGCACACCCGTACAGTCTACTGTATTTTTCTCTTCTACTGAGTTTTTCAAGGCAGTTTTTACGTGGTATTGAATAACCCCTGCTATCATTCAGAAAATAGGCAACTTCATGTGCCTAGCCTGGGGTTGCCAGAGATCTCACAGCGTGCTGTTCACCTGCTCAGGGGCCTCAGCCCTGGTGGATCACCAAAGGGAGCAGGGGGCGGTGGCTTCCTCACTGGACACTTAAATGACTCAAGGTTGCAAACCCAGGTGTGGGGACCAGGTCAATGAGGGGGGCTGCCAGTACTGGCCCCAGTGGAGCCGATGACCTCCAGGTGTTATGCGAGCAGGGAGCCCCCACATCCAGTTGCACTTCACCCCCAGAACTAGCACCAAGCCAGCAAAGCCCAGGTTTCTCAGACACTGGCACCTCCAGATCTGTTCACAGGCCCCTGTCCTCCCCCAACACACCTCCCCACCATACAGTCCTTTTCTGTTTGGGTCTCT